CCCCCCACACACACAATCGTGCGCGCTTTCACAAACAACGACAAGAAGTTGACAAATTGAAACCCTAGAATCTGCCAAGACAACAATATACAATGTAATATGATTGTTTAATCTTTTTATGCAATGTCTGTTTCTGGTGTACGCACAAACCGTGGTCGCTTGGCACTGAATGATTTGTCTCAGCTCGTTTTGGTTAGTTTCACGCAGATGTTGTAATGGTATTTGATCATGATTAACACCCCACTCGTACAGTAACGTCGTTTGAGTCATAGAGACCAACGGCTGCAGTAGCACAGCAGTTCTCACCTTGATTCATTGTGAGAGTCTCGGGCTACACTAGCAACCCTTAGAACGAGCGTCCATTGGCACAAAGTTAAAGTGTGAGTTACTGTCCGACATGTTAACTACAATCTGATAAAAACAAAACCGACCGTTTGAAAATAATAAATGGTTTCATGTACTATTATCATTACTTCTATTGTTGCAATGACTAATAATAATAACTCGCCTGTCAATGTCTGACAATGACCTATGCATCTGCAGAGGAGAATGTTCCTCCAGCTAAATAAAACTAATGTGAAGAATTAAAGGTTTGGATGACTTGTGGCTTCTGCTGTAGCCGATAAGACAATTTCTGGCAAAGAAAAAATTTGCCATATTTTGAACATTTAAAAGCTCCGCTACCACTTGTGGTTGTGAGCAGCTGGCAGACAGTTTCCTCTGTGTCAGCATAATTTCTTATTCGTGTGCATTATTATTCGCCTAAAGAGGTTATGTTATAGTGAAGCCTCATACTCCTAATGATTCGCAGCCCACTGTGACCTCTGGTCTCCAGCTGGGTCTTTCAATTTCAATAGTCAGGCTTTCCTATATCAGAGACATTTTCAGGGTGTCTTTGTAGCGTTGCTATTACAACTATTATCTTTACTTCAGTAACTAGTCTTAGCTTGTGTAGTTGTGATATTTGATTATATATACCATGCTGATACGAGTTATTCATGATGCCTTGTTATGCAAATGTAAAGGCACTGATAAAAACAAGAAGGACAATGCGATATAACAATGTAAGAATGACTATTGTGAATGATTGAGGATCTTTTATTAACACAATTTGTTGACATCGTACGTTGTTCTTTAAAAATGTACTTCACAAACACGGTGCTGGTGGTAGTTAGTATGTGCGCGTGCACGCGCGCGCGTGTGTGTGTGACTGTGTGTTTGTATGTAAGATTATGTGTGTATGAATGTGTGTGTGTGTGTGTGTATTGTGTGTAGTCTATGTGTGTGTGTGTGTGTGTGTGTGTG